ATAAAGAGTCAAGATCAAATAAGAAGGAAAATTTTGGTAAAAAGGTAAGAAATTTTTTATATACATATTTTCTTAGCAAAAAAATAAAATGAATCATTAGATGATTCAAAAATAAGATGATTCACAAGAAAAAATTCTGAAAAAAACAGATTCATGATTCATTTTAAGGTAAATCAAGAAAAAAAATTCACTTTTATGAAAATTTTGATGAATATCAACAAAATCATTTTAAAAATGAATCATTGAAATGTTTTTTCAGGATTTTATTGGTGAATTATGTTATTATTGATTCATTTGTTTTATTTGCCAAAAAAATAAGCCAAAAAAAATTTTCTTACTTTCCTAACAAAAAAAATTTCTTACCGGATATATATATATATATATAATGCAAAAAAATTATGAAATTTGGTTTCTTTCCATATTATTCTTATCGAATTATTTTAGATATTTTCTTATGGTGAAATTTTGTTTCTTTCCAAATTATTCTTATCGCTATATTTTAGATATTTTATTATGAATGAATTAGTGAAATGTGATAAAAAGTTACATGTGAATGTGATGTGTGCAGATTTTTATATGTTGTACTCATGGGTACATACTATTCTAACCGTCATTTGGTCGCAAATGTGAAGACCCAATTCTTGTCATTAGATATTGCTTACACTATGAACCTTGTCTTCAAGAATTTGACCACAAATACAAATAGTCAGATATATGCACCCTTCAAAATTAAAATGGAAGACGACAGACGCTTTCGAAATTCGTCTGTTCCTCATGTCAGAGAAGATGGATGGGCAACGACCGAACTATATCAATTTATAAACAAAAAAAAGGAAAATAGTTTTAGGATTGATTTCCTTCTTGAGGGTCATAGGGAGGACAGCGTACGCATGTATGCTATTGAAGGCATCGAATTTCGACCTGTGTAGCATGTTAAATTATATAATTATTTTATTACTCAACATTTTTACAGTATTTTGTAGGCAAATAATACAAATGGTGCTATACTTCATTTTGTTTCACTTTTGACAATGTTTTTTCTTTTGTTTTAAACTGAACATAATATTTTTTAATTATATTTGATGTACACCACATAACAGGTTAGCGGGTTGCCTCTGATTGCAACCTTTACAGTCCCCTTTTCTCATTTAAATCTCTATTGGGTGGAACCGACATTGAGCATCAAAAGTAAACTTCTATAAGTTTGGTGTTAGTCATATTTGCTACGGTCCACGTAAACGTCATGTCAGCTTTACCATATTTTAGCCAAAATTTATTATTTACATGGTGTGGGTTGTCATATTTACCATGCTAATTTTTTCTTTTAAAATAATTAATAAAAAAAGTAATCAAAGATCAAGTTTTGTAGGTTTTATCATATTGACAATAATAATTATATTAATAATAATTAAAAATAAACCCATTTATTTAATATAAACTAGTGAAGATTCCCCACGTTGCAAGGGTTGGTAATCCAAATCAAAACTAACGATGCAGTTCCAAATTAGTCGAGAAAATCCCCTCAAGTGACAACTTATAACTCTTGTGCGGTTTCAAACGAATCGAACATCTGAATAATATTCTCATGCATTCACTTCGTCTAGATCTGCAAAAAAAATAGGCATCATGATTGACCAACAAATATACAAGTTATGGAATGCAACAAATAACAATATGTTTTGGTTTTGGGTAAAAAAATCAAATAAATTGTTGAAAACAAAAACCAAAATGTGTAAACTCAAAGTACATTGCTAGTTAGTGTTTCTTTTTTGGAAAAAGAGTCAAAACAAATTTAAAAAAAAGTAAAAAAATTGTAAATTGAAAGTATATTGATATTTACAACATTAATAACCGAAAATGGAAAATGAACCTAATAGCAATGTATTTTGGTTAATGCAAAGTACATTGCTATTTGGAACATTTTACTCCTAAAAATGGAAAATATATCTAATGGAAATGTAGTTAGGTTTTTGGAAAAAAAAATCAAAAGAAATTACAAAAAACAAGAGAAAATGTGTAAATGCAAAGTGCATTGCTATTTACTGCATTTACCATATAAATATGGAAAATGCACTAAATGGTAATGTACTTTGGTTTTTTGGTAAAAGAGTCGTAACAAAAATGCAAGGTACATTGCTATTTAGTGTATTTGCCACCTAAATATAGAAAATGCACCAAACATAAATACTAAATTGTCATATTATCCTTATAATCTCAAGTTGAATAATAACATCTTAAATTACCATTTTCTCCTCGTCTTTCCGACTCTTTATGACCTCCGAAGGCTACTCGCTAACCATCTTTTCAAGTTCCACCATTTTATCCCAATTTTATGTGTTTTCATCAATTCAGATCTCCGCTTTGTCAATTTTCCAAAAATAAGCAATATCTCTTGTAAAACACAAAACAAAAATCATAAAAAATAGATTTTTTGCTTACATACCTATGTCTTGTTTTCCAGGACTTTACTAATTTATCCCTATATCAATGGTGTAATAATTAAGGATCATTAAGAGCAAAATTTTAATGTCAATCATAAACACTTATATACCTCTGAAAGTCATAGCGTGCAACGTGTAACACCCGTAGATTCGGGCTAGTGAATTAACATATAACAAACGTTAAAAATAACTTTTTTTATAGAAGATTATCTATGATAAATAATCTTAACCAAAGTAATAGTTATGGTCAACAATTGTAACTTATTCGACGTAATTATATGAATATTATGTGTTTCATGATTATTATAATATAATAAAATATGAAAAATCAGTCGAATTGTCCGTAAATCGTAAAAATAAGTGCGCCAATATATATATATATATATATA